ACACGGCAATTAAAGAATTACCAAGGGTAGTGCATAATTTAGAGCATTAAACACATCTGTCACGTAAACAAGATCATCCTACCACTACTAACGCATGCATACGTCCAAAAACATCATACCCATGTCATGTGAAGGAATGGCTCCTCCCCCAAAAAACAAATCAACCAAAAAACACAAAAACCCTTAGTTCTCAAAACAACAAAAAAAACACCCCGTCAACAACACGAAGTCAGAGGATCAAAATTGCTTTTCACTCAACATTCTTCCCCTTAAGCATCTTATCGTTTTTCAAAGACTCGTTTTCTACCATCTCCATCAACTCGTTCACCTCGTGGAGTAAAATTGCTGCACAGTACTTCATACGTAGGACCAAAAGTGGCTTGTGATTTAGCTTTGACAGACCACAATCCCATCCCTTCGCTCCCTCTCCCATGTATGTCTCCATGTGACGCATTGTTGCCACCCCGTAGTCATACACTTGCTTTGCATCCCTCCAAGGTAGCCCAATTCTTTTAGGTTGAAGTTCACGTATACAGGCTGCCTTGCTTCTAAATCCATGGTGCTCCAAGAAATCGGCCAACATATTCAGCTTTCGCAAAACAAAACGTATAAAATTAACTTCACGAAATAATCCATTTCAGCGCATAAATAAATCTGGACACTGCATACTTACCACTAGTGATGGCATTTCTCCATATCGCTCTTCATTCTTGGCTTTCGCAGATGAACTGTCCAGAATGTCACACCTTCTGCCTTTCAGATCCACACACAACACATAACACCAGTTTGTTTGCATTATGGGGAAAAAGAACTGCATTTCATTGAAACCAATTATTATCAGTTTCCTAAACAATATAGCCATCCTAAAACGAGGCCACAGATCCAAAAAACATTTTTTTAACCATGCTTAATTATAGTTAGTTGTTACTAGTTTTTCAAATTGCATCAATGTCTCTTACCAATTCTGGTTTCCCCCAATTAAAGCTATCCTCTGCATCATCCCAAAGAGATTTCATTGCATCATTAAACATCAATCTCGTTGTTTCCAACGAATTATCTTCATGACCACCGTTCACGACCTTCATATTATACATCTCAAAGTCAGTAAATTCATTGAAAACAAAAACTTCCAAGTGATAAGATTTAAAAACTGTCATAACACTTACACAATCAAGTGTTTTTGCAAACAATCGTAGTGGTGAGGTA